CCCTCTAGTTTTTCTATCCTTTCATTTTCTAAGCTCTCAATTCATTTTCCCAAATCTCCTTTTATTAATGAGTTCATCTACTATCCTTAATCCTCTATCGTCCTGCTCCACTTTGGCCTGGTTAATCAGGGCGTATTGTTTGATCATCACCTTAAAAGTAACCTTTATTACTTTTCCAAGTTGGGATCACTATTTCCTGGATTCCATATTTACTTTTCAATTGATTACTATCTCATTTTGTAGGTATACATGTTCAAACAATTTGCTAAGGAAAAGTTTACAGGAGGTAAACTTTTGGAGTAATTTCAGTCCTAAAGACATCTTTATAGTCACTATATATCTACTTGATAGTATATTTAGGAATAGAATACTAGAGAAAATTATATTCTCTAAGGATTTCAAGGCATCTGTACATTGACATTTATCATCAAGTATTATGACTAGGAAGTCTGATGCCAGGTTGATTTGTGGGTGACAATCCTCTTATTCTGGGAAGATTTTACGGTCTCCTTTTAGTTTTTATTATCCTAAAATTAATTGAGAATATGTCTAGGTGAAGGAGTTTTTTAAATTAATTGTATTAGGTACACAATACATCTTCAGTTTTAATTTTAAAAAGAGAAATACAGAGAAAAAACAATGAGGATCAATGTATACATCATCCATAATAAGCAATGTTAATGCTTTCTTTCTATTTGTTTATAATTTTTTCTTAATAGATAAAATTAAACTGCATTTATTGCTGGAATCACATTGTCCTCCAGCTGTTCCCAGAGGCGACTGATACTGAAAAACTAATGCACTTCTTTCAGTGTCCATTTTTAATATTGCTATAAATATATGTATCCAAAATAACATAGTTTCATGTGTTTCATGTTTAAAATTATATAAATGGCCTTATACTGTATCTTTCTGCAAATTATTTCATTCAACCTTAGGTTTCTGAAAATTGTCTAGCCTGATATATAGATATCTAGTTCACTCATTTTAATGCCTTATAAATTCTATTGTATTATTTACATAATATAATATAATTATATTTGATGACATTACTTACCCAGAAACCTTCAGCAAACGCCAACCTTAGGCTGAAATATCGACCATTAAAATCAGAAACAAGACAAATATGTACTGTGTCATCAATACTGTTTTTCTAGAGGTCCCTGACAGTGCAATGATATAAGTAAAATAAATAACTATAAAATATTGATTAGGAAGAGATAAAAAGGTCATAATTTGTACAGTACCTTTATCTACTTAAGAAGTCAGAATGAAAAAATGAGACAAACTAATAAAATTAATAAAAGAGCTCACGAAGAAAGTCTGACAGTAGAATGACAATGCTACATCAATAGCTTTTATAGAAACTTGCAATAATTTTTTTTAGTAAATTTATTTTCCAATGGAAAATGGATACATAAGCACAAAATTCAAGAGGCACAAAGGAAAGAAAAAGACAATTAAGTGGGTTACTGATATTTTCCCTTGCAAATCTAATGTATAATACGTGGAAGGAGCCAAAAAAGCAAAGCGACCCTTTCTTTGTTCACCATTCCACAGACACTCCACACTATATTAGGAAATGTATAATAACATAGAACGGTGTATGTTACAGGCTATACATTATTTACAATTGTATATACAGCACACTGTTCTGCAACTTTTCTTGCACGTATATTCTAATTTGGGAGAGGACAGAGAACAGTGCCCAGTTTGCCACGGTGTAAAGGTCAGCAGGATGAGAGTTTCTAAGCTTCCTGTGGGCCGGAATATGTCCTGAGAACATACCTGGAGCAGACGTCAGCTCACAAGCACCAACACAGCCCTCCCCACCAACACACACACACACACACACACCACACACACCATCCGCCTTAGGCCACCTAGTGAGCCGAGGGACTCCAAGTCAGTTAGAGATTCCTGAGGGAAAGGGATGTGTCTCTCACCTTGCACAAGAGTAGATTCCAGGCAGATCCATGAGACAAATCTCTGAATAGAAAGGTGTGAAAGGACGACAAAACTGCCCAGGAGACTGTGTTCATGGGAAAGTGGGAAAGGCTGTCCTAAGCCTCACACCAAAACAAGAGGCAGTAAGGAAAAAAACGGACCCACTTCCGGGATGGAAAGGAGGCCATGAGCAGAGAGAGGAGAGAAGTGGCAGCCAGTGAGAAGACACATCTGGCATCTGTAACAGGCGGGGCAAGGGCCGGCCCTCTGCAGCACTCTGCTGGCCTCTGGTGCAGTGCCCGTCTGCATCATAGAACAGCCAGTGTCCCTCAGAAGACAGGCAAGAGCAGCCCCTTGCCACAGCTGCTTAACTCTTATCCGAGTTGTGCATGGTCAGACGTACAGATTGGGTGAGGGCTGTTCGGGTCCAGGGTGGCACTTAAAGTAAGGAGATTGGGGTGGACACTGCTTTGAGAGTGACACATGGCGCCCCGGTGAGGATGCAGTGTCTGAGACTGGACATGCCTGCCGGGAAGCTGGATGTCTGCAACCTTGTGTGCACTCACCTGGAGAGGGGGCGGGGTGGGGGTGGCAAACCACAAAATCCCTAGGAGAGGCAGCACGCTGGGGAGGGCACCTGAAGTTGGTCTGGAAGTCAGTCAGTGCCTACAGGCACCAAATGGAAACGGGCTCATGAGATAGATGGGAAGCAAATCCCAGGACCCTTTCTGGAAGTGGAAGATAGCCTGTGGCGGCAGTTTCAGATTGACACAAGAGACGGGCTCAGGCTGAGGCGGCACCATCAGGGCAGGGCACTCCCCACAGAGGGTGGCAAGCTCAGCCTTGCTGACCCTCCCCAACGTTTGCACCTGGGAAGCCCAGAAAGACTGTCTTTGGGTTGCAGCAGGCAGGTATGTATTGTGATTGAAGGCTCAGGGACGTATTTATGTTTGTGTGACATATGGAATGGGGGCACCGGTGCTCTTGCCAGTGCTGAGAGGGAGAGACAAGGGGAGGTGCTCTTGCCATGCATGCCTGGGAAGCAGGCATGCTCCTGACAGTCAAGGGATGAGGGGCAGGACAGAAGGGCTGTGCGTGAGTGCTTTCGAGAGGGCAGTGCCAGAAAATGGACAGGAGGGTTTTGACTTGGGCCAAGACCATGCCGTGGAGACACTTGGACGCTGATGGGCTTTCCTGTGACAGAGTTTGCTCAGGGGATGAGCAGAAAGCCTCTGGGGTGCTCCCTGAGTTAGGACTCAGCTGTGACCTCACTGTGTCAAGTGCCTCAGAGATGGAGGACAACTGCACACAAAGGGAAATTTGGTAGTGTGCAGGGAAGTAGGGAGGTGCATGCTATTCCAGACCACAGGCTAGGAGGATGCCTTTGTGCTCAAAGAGGCTGAGCAATGAGGGCTCACTGAACTGAAGACAGCATTGGCAGAGCAGGCGCCACTGGGGAAAGTGGATGAGGAGCTGTTTGCAGGGAAATCCCCTCTGAAATCAGATTGCCCAGCCAAACTGTGATTGGCTTCGGAGAAAGGGTGGTCCTTCTGACTGACAGCTCTTAGGAACCAAGACAGGGCTCCCAGAGTGAGCCAGCCAAGGAAGCCCCAGCAGTGGGGGAGGGAGGGCGGGTGTCACAGCAACTGCAAGTCACTTGTTGGCCATCCCAGGCACCAGGGCCTGGGAAGAGGCCTGGTCCCCATTCCAGGTGGGAGGATTTCCCAGAGTTGGTCCGGGGACCTGGCAGGCACTCAGGCCCCCTGACCAGCATGGGCTGCCGGGCAGATAGTACAAGCAGGAAAGTTGTAACCCACCTGGAAACCAAGCTGCAGGGGGAAGGGAGAATAAGACAAGAAAAGAAAGCTTTGTTCTGTGTGAAAGAGAACACGCAGAATGCCCAGCCCATAGAGATCGCCGCTGCCCAGGGCACAGTGAGCCACAGGAGCAACCCTGGGAGACTGAGAGGACACGGGGCACAGCAGCAGCCCTGCCCAAGGGAAGCAGATGTGCTTACTGGATTTGTGCTTACGAATTGGGGGAAGGGGACCACCTCTTGACACACACACACACACACACACACACACGCGCACACACACCACGAAAGTGCAGGGAACCTGGCTTTGCTGATTCAGGGGCTAAACCTGCTGGGTGGGATCTGGTCATGTTGGAAGTGGGGGCGGGGCAGAATGAGCTGCCCTGACCCATGGAGTGCTTCTGCGCCCAGGGGCTCGTCCTTTCCTGGCAAGGTGCCGGGACCTCCGATGGAGTGTGCGGAGGTGTCTACGGATGGATGGAGTGGCCATGCCGTGCCAAGTACCCTCAGCATCTGCCCTCTCACCCCCGCGGGGAGTTGATGGAGAGCTCCTCTGTCCCCTTCCTGGGTCCTGCCAAAGGTAGTGGGGATCCAGCAGAAAGGAGCTTCCTCCAAAGGGAGCAGCGGCCAACCCTCTCACTCTGCCAGGAAGTAGCGCTGGGGATCCCAAGGAAGAGGGAAGGAGGGCTGGAAGCAGGTTTCCTCGTGGCTTCGTAGGAGGCGTAGAACTACACGGGGTAGGTGCTGGGCAAGGCGCAGCGTTCATCGCGATCATTGCGCAATAAACGCGCCCCGATGTGTGGGAGAGCGTCCACACCCGCCCCACCCCGATCCCCACCCCCACGTCGGGATGCGCAGACAAAGGAAAAGGCCAGGGCTCCTGATCTTTCTTTCCAGGCCAGCAGTCAAGGAAAACACATTAAGAAGGGATTTCTGTGTGCCGGGCACGGTGCTACCTGCTCCAAGGGTGTCCTCTCTTTCAGTCCTCTCAACAATCCACCTTAATTCCACCAACTTTCCCCATCGTGCCCCTCACCTCCCCCCACCTCCGCCCCCAGCCTCTTCTTGAAATTTATTCTGAGCGCTGCATACAGCCCTCTCTATCCCTGCCTCCTGTGAGCCCTGAGAAGCCTGCATTTGCCAGGGAGCAGACGTCCTAGTCAGCTGGCGTTTACCCGTGCCTTTTTTGTCCTTCTCTCCGTGCAGACTGTAAACTCAAGGACAAGGACCATGCCTCTTTTCTGCCAATCAAAGCACACAAGTTTATTGATGATACACACAGATGCCGGCTTGGGTGGAAGAGGTTAAGTCAGTACAATAGACAGAAGAGCAGTACACTTTTTTGATGAATAGGTTCACCATCCATCAGGCGCGTGTAGAAGAAAGGGTAAACGAAAAATAATTCAACCTAAGCTGCAACAAATGCATTTTCGGCTCAAGCTGCGATACGCGTCTGGTCTCTGCAAAGCGGTCCCGCTTGGGCAGGGAGACCACCACAGGCAACAATAGCACTCGTGATGCTGTAATTGATGTTCTTTGTCCACAGCAGGCAGCCGAAGTGATCCCCTCACCTCGTGAAGGAGGCTGCCAGGGAGGAATTTACAATGCCAACATTGCCTGCAGCCTGCACAACCAAGAAGTTACTCAAAGCTCTGTGGGAGCCCCTGCCTGGCCAATAAGAGCGTGGTCCTGGATTGAGCGCTGGAACTTTCACCCAATGAGGCGGTGATTGGCTAAGGCTGGATCTTCAGTGACACCCTCTGCAGATTCTTTGACATCTGCAAACCAAGCGCGTTTTGAGTGGAATCGGTCCCATTGTGTTCGAGAGGGCCCTTTATGGGGCAGGGGTTTCCAGGAGAATCTCTCTGTTTCCATTTCTGATAAAGAGGGACATGAATGAGAAGAGCATCTGGGCACCGACTAACTCCCCCGCCAAGACTGGCTTTTCAGACAAACCCATCAGTGGTTTCAAAACCTGAACCTTAGCACATCCACTTTCCTCTGATATCAAAGGAAACTTCAAGTCTGAAACGGACTTGGCAAGCATGTTATTAATAACTGTCATGCTTATTAACAAATTTAATCCAGCCTGCTGCAGAAATGAGTTGCAGCAACGTGACACAGTCTCCCGACACACTTCATTGATGTACATCTTAATCTGGCCCTGACTTTCAATACTCGCATTTAATTTATCTGGGGCACACAAAGCCTCTCTAACCGCGGGGTCTGGAGTGGGGATCGTGTGTCTGACCATTGAGAGGCTGGCCAAATGGCTGTTGATATTCTGGCTAAATGGAAATGCCTCCTCCTCGATCTCGGCAAACAGCAGTTTTCCCTGAATGAAAAGGCACTTGGAGAGGTCAAGAACACAACTGCCATTTTTACAGTTTTGAGCTTATCCAGAAAATGTTTTGTTTTCATTGGGGAATAGGTGATTCATTTTTACTTGGATGATTTGCTTTTGGGGAGGCTGTGAGTTCTGACTGTCCATGATTATTGGCAGGCTAATCCTCAGGGCTTGGCTTATCCTCAACTCTTGACTGCAGATCAGGGCCCTTACCTGTTTTGTCCACTGTCTGCAACTCCCCCACTCTTTTTGCTTTTCTTACTTGGTTGAACCTTCTTATAAGTGGATGAACACTGTGTCAACTTCTACCAGGCTTACATATCTGCTTTCACTAACTTGTTAATTTGAGTATATCTCACGTTTATTGCAAGTCACAGATGGGTATCACTCTTAAAAAGGTGATCTAGTTGTGGCGTTCTAGGAAGGAGATTGTTAGACATTCTTTGCCTGGTCACAATCAATCTAATTGCCATCAAACATGGACCTAGCAGCAATGCAAACATAAAGAGCTTTTAGATGAGTCTCCCCAAATAGATATGTCAATGCACAGGATACAAGGGTATCCGTATCTCTTTTCCATATTTATAGTCTTAATTTTATTTTTTGTTTTTAATAATATATTTTTATTGCATTTCAGGTTTATAGTCTTAATTATCAAATGTTTCCCCTCTGGCATTTTACCTCCCTCAAGCTCATTTCCACTGTTTTCCCAGAAGTGCAGCATTTATCTTTTCCAGCACCAAAATAAGAGGAGAAAAGAATAAAGGCTGTGAGAAGGAGAAGCTGAATTATTTCTGGGCTCTGTAGTCTGCCTTTGACACCTTGGTCCCACTTTTTGTCTCCAGCATATCACACTTTGTGAAGCAATTTCTTTCCTCCCTTACTTAGCTTATTGTCCACAGGTACACAGAGAAAAGAGAATAGAGATTGGTAAAGGCACTGACTCATAAGTTTCAGGTACATCCACTCCAGAGTGAGGAATATAGCTTTCCAAAGTCCCCCATTTAGGTCTCAGGCACACCAATCTTCCCCACCCTGGCCTCCTGCTACTTTATCCCTTCCCCCTCTCCCACGAATTCCCACTTTTCTGCCTCACCTCACTCCCCTTTTTGCTTTATAGATTTTGTCATTGCTTTCCCAGAGCCATAAAGGATTGGGATCAACGGTTTTCTGAAAACAGGACAGGAGTAGAAGGGCAAGTTCCAGTTTAGCACTTGTGTGTACCACCCCCTTGCGACTGGTTCTGGCTCCACGCTTCCTGGAAGGAATACACTGTTGTTTCAGTCTCTACCAAGTAACCTGTCTTCTTCCTTTTTCTTGAATTGCACTGCCCCCTACAGACAAACAAACCAATATCTATCGGTAGAGTTGGCGAACACAGGGCTGGGTGATAGGCCATATTTGCTTATTTGCTACCTTTTACTGATTCTGGACTCTTTCTCTCAAACATTTCTCACCTCTCACTGTCAGCTCCCCAACACCGACTTTCCCCCTGAACGTGTGCACCATTCAGAGAACTAAAATAAGCTGGCGGGTGAGGTGAGAGTGTGGGGGAAGATGACTCTGTCCCAATCCTGACCCTAAGACTTCCCAGGCAATCCTCATTCTCACACCAACCTGCACAAAACCAGAGCAGTTTCTTCTTTCTTCACTTGTCTACAAACATGTCTCTCTCATGTCAACAGCAGGGAGCTGATGGCTGGGTCAAAAAGACTTGACTTTCCCACAGATCTTGGTCACCTGAGATATACATCACTAATGAGCCGTGGTTGCCACCAGTAGTGATGCAAGAGTGTGCCTTCCTCTCTCTCTTCCCCCCAGCACACCAGACCTGTCACTCATTTTTTTTTCTTCACCAATCCTAGAATCCAAAAGAAAATGCATTACCATTTTATTAGAAATTTTTTTCTCTGACTTCCAGGGACAAAACTTATTCCGATCCTTTCTTATCTTCTCCTGGAGCAACTGTCTCTTTGTATTTATACTTCTTTATCTTCATCCTAGAATGCCAGGCAACACTCCGTCTCTTTACTTTCCCTTCCCCTCAGCAACTAATATCCATCATCTCGCTTAGAGCCATGAAAAAGCAGATTTCATGAAACAAGGCATAGAGAGAGAAATATATTCATTATATTTTTCTTGGCTCTGCTCATTTTTCTTGGAAATAATGACTTTTCAAAAAGATTTTTTTAAACCTTTGTATGTATAAGGAGTTTTCTGGAGTGATACTTGCTAGATTGACACTACTGGCTATTTCTGAGAATAGGATTTAAGGCAATACACATTCTAGCTGCAGTGTCAAGTATTAAAGTCAGTGGGACATGGAAATGAACAGAGCTGTCTCTTGTACAAGACCATCTGATTTTCCCAACAGGCCCCCACAAGACAGCATTTGCCTTGCTGACTTCACTATCCTCCAGGCTCTAACCCCTAATTTTTTTTTCAGAGTAAAAATATGCACAATTTATGACATTACACCGAAGAGAAATGCATTGCATGCATATATTTACCAAATGACATGTATAACAATGTTTATAGCAGCACTATTCATAATAGTCCCAAGCTGGAAACAATCTAAATATCCATCATCATTAGAATGGATGCATAAAATATAGTACATACATAAATGTCAATGAATAATCTACATGCAATAGTATGGATTATTCTCACACACAATGCTAGCAAAAAAATCGACACAAAATAATATATAGTGCACGATTCTTTTTATGTAAAGTTTTTTTATGCAAAACTATCTATCTTGTTAGAAGTCAGAATAGTGGTTACCCTTGGGATGCATTAGTGACTAAATGGGGGCTTGGAGGGAGCTTCCAGTGTGTGGTTAATGTTTATTTCTTGCTCACTTTGTGAAAATGTATTGAGCTCATTACTTGTGCACTTTTCTGTATATACGGTATACTTCAACAAAAGTTTACTAAAAGATCTCAATAGTGAGTTAGAAAAATGAGAGGTAAAGTGGCCAAGATGACTGATTAGAAACAGCTAGGGTGGATGGCTCTCACGGAGAGAAACAGAAGGGGTGAGTAAATAAACCACCTTTAACTGAAACATCCAGGTACTTGCATTGGAACTAGTCAAGGAAACAACTTAACCCATAAAGAACAAAGAAAAGTAAAGCAAGATGACGGCCCACCTGGGAGGGACACATAGCCAAAAGAAGTTTCCCCTCCTAGGGAAGCAGTGAGTGAATGTACAATGCCTCTAACACTGACCTTTGCCACCCTTGGGTCAGAAGAGGCCCTCAGGAACCCATTCCACCAAGGCCTTCAATCTGACATACAGAGCTGCATAGAGTCTTGGCAGAGCAACCACTCAGGCACACGTAGAGACCAGAGAGCTTTAAATACTCTGGCTCTGGGCTTCCCAGCAAAAGTAACTGCAACTCCAACAGAGTAGGAGGTTGGACTTCCTACTACCCCTAGGAAAGAAGCTGAATCCAGGGGGCCGAACAGGGATGGTCTGCAGGCCCCATGTCCACGGCATTTCACAGTATAAAACCCACTGGCTTGGAATTCCAGCCAGCCATCAGTAGCAGTGTGGCACCTACCTGGGATGGAGCACCCAAGGGGAGAAGCGGGCCTCCATCTTTGCCATTTGGGTGACATAGCCATTCCAGCCTGCAGGCTTTGGAGAGTCCAAACTGACCAGGGGCAAAAGGGATCCCCCAGCACAGCACAGCTGCTCTACCAAAACATGGCCAGACTACTTCTTTTAGTGGGTCTGCAACCCGTTTCTCCTCACTTGGGGAGATCTCCCAAATGAGGCCTTTAGCAACCCCTGCTGGTGTCCTCTGGCCAACAGAGATCTGAAAACCCCCTGGGACAAAACTCCCAAAGGGAGGAGTGGGCCACCACCTTTATTGTTGAAAACCCCCTGGGACAAAACTCCCAAAGGGAGGAGTGGGCCACCACCTTTATTGTGGCATTAGCAGTTCTAGCCTTCAAGCTTTGGTGTGTCTGAAGCTACCAGGGGCAGAAATGGTACCCCAGCACAACACAACAGCCCCACGAAAATGTGCTCACATTGCTTTTTTAAGTGAGTCTCCAAACTTGTTCCTTATCACCCGGTAGAGCCACCCAACCAGGGTCTTCGGCTACCCACACCAGTGTTCTCTGTCTGACAGAGGTTTCAGGCTTCCTTGGGACAGAGCTCCCAGGATGAAAGGCAGGCCACCATCTTTGCTGTCCAGGTGATTTGGGCATTCCAGCCCTCAGGCTTCAGAGTGTCTGAGGTGAGCAGGGGCAGAAGTATGCCCCCAGCCCACCACAGCTGCTCAACAAAAACATGGCCAGACTACATTTTTAAGCAGGTCCCCAGTCCCATTCCTCCTGAATGGGTGAGACCTCCATCCGAGGTCAACAGCTACCTTCTACAGGTGCATTTGGGCCAGCAACAATTCTGTGCCTCCCTGGGATGGTGCTCTCTGATAAAGGAGCAGGCTGCCACCTTTGTTGTTTTGCAATTTTCACTGGTGATACCTTTAGGTACTGGAAAATCTGAGGTGACCAGGGATTGGAGTGTACCCCAGCATGCTGCAGCAGCCCTACAGAAAAGTGGCCAGACTGTTAAAAGAAAAAAATCCAAAAGTCAGAAACCTCTAAGACTGAAAGCAAATAAGCCTACAAAACCAAGAAAGAATCAATGCAAGAAGGCTGAAAACTCAAAAAGCCAGCAGCCAGCATGCCCTCTTTCCTCCAAATGACCACATCACCTATAAAGGAAGAATGAGGAAACAGGTTGACACTAAGATGGCTGAAATGACGAAAGTAGAAATAAGAATATGGATAGGAATGAAGTTCACTGAGCTAATAGTGTATGTTGTAACCCAATGCAAGGAAGCTAAAAATCATAGTAAAACATTGTAGGAGATGCCCAGATGCGGTGGCTCATGCCTGTAATCCCAGCACTTTGGGAGGCTGAGGTAGGTGGATGACTTGAAGTCAGGAGTTCAAGATCAGCCTGGCCAACATAGCAAAACCCTGTCTCTTTTAAAAATACAAAAATTAGCTGGGCATGGTGGTGCACACCTGTAGACTCAGCTACTCAGGAGGCTGAGGCAGGAGAATCACTTGAATCCAGGAGGTGGAGGTTGCAGTGAGCTGAGATCGTGCCACTGCACTCCAGCC